CAGAACATCTTTCCTCATTGTTTATAATTTGGACAAATAAAACACTAAATACGTCATGGTTAAGAATCATTAAACGTTACGTTATAAACTGATAAAGCAGAAGTGATTACAGCAACTACAATTAAGCGCCCCCTTTCAATTAAGCGTTTCCATAAAACATCCAGTTAAATCTTCAAAACCCATTACAAAAACAAGGAAGTGAACACTACGTATGCAGTTAAACTCATCCCGTAGTTCCACAAAGTCATTCTCCCATTTACGGTGACATCCTGACCGTTGCAGAGAGAGCTAGAATTACATGCGCACACTTCACCAACGATGTTTGTGATTCCCACGTGCGGATACGTCATCCCGGGAAAGTAGGACGAATCCCACGTGTCGTTATCACTTGGGCTTAACTGGCGACACCTGTCGTAGAAATCCGTATTGTTTGGTGCACAGGCTCGTGCAAAGGTGCGGACGTTCATGCTGAAATTTCTCTAAAATTAGAGGTTAAAAACTATGAGTTCACATGGCTACATAACAGTCTATGAAACTACATAACTTTCTATGAAATGAAAATAGAATGGTGTTATTGTTTATTGATCTATGACCAAAGTGGTCGAAAAAATATCAGGTTGAACTATTAAATTTTCTCATAAAATTTAGCACACTGATATTCCTTTAATAATCAAGGCTGCTCAGCAACAGTAAAATGGCATTCGATGGATAATAACTTTTATTATTAACATCATCATCATTATCGATTTTGTCATTATACACTGCTTAATTTAATTTGAATGAAGACCTAAAAATAAACACAACTATATATATATATATATATATATATATATATATATATATATATATATATATATATACTGAACCCTTTTCAATTGTAACATTACATACTGTTTCACTACTGCTCACCCTGCTTTTAAAACTATAAAGGTGAGATTTTATTGCCCTCTGAAACTCTGGGCGAATACTGTAAGGCCACATTCACAACCAGTTGATACGCGAACTCACAGATCCACGGACCAAATATGTCCGACCCACATGGAAGTTTGTCGCATAATCCCTTAAAAAACTAACAGATTTCCCGTACGGGATACGCAGCAAGCTTCTGATCGGGTCGTCCATATTTGATCCGCAGATCTGTTAGTCCACGGATCAATTTTGGTTGTAAATGCGGCCTTTGCGAATGCCTAATGAACAACCTACCCCAAACCCGGGCAAAGGGAACTCCATGGTCAGGCTGACGTCACCACGGAGGCATATCCCCGAGTGACAGGCGGTCTTTTTTTCAGGGTCGTTCCTGATCCGGTGAATATCAAGGCAGGTCATGTCTTTGGGTAGCACCGTGGTTCCCAGAACCTTACTAAAGGATGCGTCGTCAGATGATACTTTGGTGGAGGTACAGTCGAAGCACTCTATACCTGGTGACGGCAAAATGAAAAGACGCTAGTCTCTCATGAAAAATGTTCTGCCTAAGCAAACAATGCCTTTACGTACCCTGCTAAATATGTAAATGACGACGATATGATAGCAAAGTACGATGTTTTTGACGTATTAAAGATTGACAATGACATACATCGTAGAATTACATGTAAAACCATGACTTCGTTGGTATTTGTGTAGCATAAGTGTATCGTTGTTGTAATATGTGCCTGAAACTTGGTGTGGCGCTTCTTGATCACGCAGGTTTGGAGAGCGGGAATCAGTAGTGTGGGATGCGCCTTGTTAGGTGACACGATGCATCGTTTCTTCCAAAATAATTCCATATGCATCTGTTGATTTTATTCGTCATTTATGAAATCACATTGCATCACAACATCGTTATGGGGCGGCTAAAATATATTCACACTTACTATCTCAACAAATGATACCCACCAGCCGATTCGTCTGGTAACATTAGAATCAGAACAGCAGATGTTATGATTTGTAGTAACAAAGTGAGTGCACTGCCAGTGTCGCTGGAGTTGGCTTTTCTGTAGTTCTCCATCTCTCCTTGCTGTGGCAAATATATTTTTGGATAACGACAAATGAAGTCTTCCTATATATCTTGCCTTGTCATTTTATTTTAAGACTTGTCGGGAGTTAAAACAAACAAGTATTTATATGTAAGTCAAAGTGAAATGACGAAGTTCCAGATTGTCCTGGCAGACGAATTTCGGTCAAAACGAGACTCTCAGTACCCAAAGTTGGCTGTCGCATTGTTATAGCTCCATTCACTGATTCACAACAAAGGCATAGTCTACAGGTAGGGCCTACAGGCAGGGTGTGGATGGTTGGTTCGATCGAGGGTTAAGGTTGTTTTTTCAATAACCACAGGAACACCGAAAGCAAAGGAAACAAGCACAGGAAGCAAGGGGGGTAGGGGGCAAAACCACATCCCAGCCGCGCCCCACTACTATAGAAATGTCCGGTGTAGTGGTGTAGTAGTGCCTAGAGATGGGATTTTTTTCTTAGAGAGATCCGGAAGCTGTAGCACTGCATTGCGCTTTTGATGAAGAAATTCTGAATGTTATTCAGCTGCTGAATAACAAAAGTTGAGAAATGATATAAAATTCAGTAAACGTACGATAACCTCAAAAATGAAAAAATATACACGGTGGCTGGTTGTCATGGCAACTGGTCTCATCAGCATTCTATGAAATACGCAACTACTACTTAATTTTTAAATTAAATTTGTAAAATACCAAAACTTAACAATTTGCATCCACCGAAGTTAAATTTGTCTTAATCTTTCTTCATTTGGAGGTTTTTGCCAAAATTTTTATTCTTCATTTCACAATATCTACACAGATTTATATTAAAGTAAATCGAAACCCCATTCAACATGATATTTTTACAATATCTACACAGATTAAAATTGAAGTAAAACGAACCCCCAATGTACATGATATTTTTACAATATCTTTCCAGATTGAAATTAAAATAAAACGGACCCCAATAAACATGAAAGTTTTACAATATTTCCCGGGATAGCTACACTAAAACATCTCCAACAAATAACTAAAGTAAAACAAAAAAGAATCCACATAAAATTTTACAGACTTTTTGTGTCGGTGTACCTGTAAACCGCACAATTAAGATGCAGCAATAGTAGGATTATATGCACCAAATATTCTGAAAAAACAGACGTCACAACTCTTTCAAAGGAACTTGGTCAGTGGATAATTAACTTAAAGTCCGTTTTTCTTTTATTTTAGGCGTAAATAAATACAATAATATTCTTTGTATCTTTGGCGAAAAAACATAAACAATTTTAAGACAAAAAATGCACTACACACACCCATACACACACGTTGATTTGTTTGATATTTCCAACAAAATGATTTTTTTTTTAATTTGCCTAAAAGCACTTTTGGAAAATTAATGTACCAGCCCAATAATTTGTAAATTTCATCAAAGTAAATAGAAGGTGCTGGCAACGTTTCTAAGATCAATGATAATAATTGAGAAATTTATAGTATTTTCAAATATACCAAAACGCTGGATATCTAGGGGCATATGGCCCTATTTTTACATTTTTAAATTTTATCTAAATATTATTGACTAACGTTCAAAAGTTTCCAGTGAGACATTTTCCACGTGTTCAAAGGTCATTTTTATATCATAACCATAATGTTTTTGTTAGTAATAAAAATGTTTTCAAAGTAATATAATAATGTTATTCAAGAACGTTATAAAATATATTTGAAATGTTTTTTTAACCTTCTCTTCAGCGTTTCTTTACGTTATCATAACGTATCCTGTGTTAGTTATAAAAACATTTTCAACACCTTATTATAATGTTATTCCAGAACGTTTTAAAATATTTTTTAAAAACCCACAAGTAAACGACATTGTAACGTTTTATAAAAACGTTTTTAATCTTTTCAACAACGTTATTAGAACGTTACCTGAACCTTTTTTTATCAGCTGGGACATTCTTTTTGTTGCACAAATACACAAATAAGGTTAGCATAACTTAATCATAATGTAATTTTGTACCATTACCATAATGAAACTAATTGATAATCTTATGAAAATGTCAGGGCCGTAGCCTCCGNGGGATTTGAGGTGCAAAAAAAAAATAATAATCGCAAAGGAGAAAAAAAATAATTGCAAAGTTGGTATCAATTCTGTGAGAAAATGCACTCATGGCCACTAGACAATCATTCAACAATCTGTTTACAAAGGTGCACTGTTTTTAGCCTAATTAGCGTGTTGTGTTAAAAAAATGACTGTACTTATGGCAAAATGAACCCACAATTTCTGACTTCTGATTGAGCAATAAATAACAGTTAAAATGCACCAGAATGAAGTATTATACATACAGTTTTTAAAAAATTTTCCACACCGTGCGAGGGGGACACCCCCTCCCACACCCTTTTTGAAAACCCACAAGTAAACGACATTGTAACGTTTTATAAAAACGTTTTTAATCTTTTCAACAACGTTATTAGAACGTTACCTTAACCTTCGCTTCGCCCCCTCGTGTCCGCTTACTCCCCCCCCCCCCCCCCCCCCGGCATTTTGCTCAGGCTACGGCCCTGAATGTGGGTTAGGCATACTTCAGACAAACTGTTATATAAAATGATTTAGATTTAGATATCGTCTTTGAAATCAGAATTGGAAAAATTAGTATGACAAACTTTGCTGGATGAAAAAAATGACTAAGGGACATTTTCTAATGTGTGCAGAATACCTTAAAATATCATAATATCATCAAATAATTAGGTTAACTATGAGATAAGACAACCTCTATGTCTTTTTATCCCAAACACATCTACATCCCTAAGATAGGTTGGTGGTGTAAAATGAACCATTTTGGTGCTGAGGAGTAATTGTTTAATTAAATAGAAAAGAGAAAAACTATTTGAATACCAGTTTTATTTTCATGTCTTCGTAATCACTTCCCAGATTAAAATTGAAGAACCCTCCAATTAACATGATATTTAAATATCTTCCCAGATTATTACATGTACACAGATGTATCCAAAAACATATAATTAAAGAAAAGGAAACCCCAACAAAATTTACACTTACATTTTCTTCGATTACTACATTAATTGAAAAAGCCAAAAATACACATTTTAAGCAAATAACATCCTTGATTAATATGGATTTTTTTAACAATGTCTTCCCAGATTACTACACTAAAACATCCCACAGTTAGAGAAAAAAATCCCCATGAATTTTCAATAGCCTTTCTGTGCCAGTGTATCTGTAAACTACACAAGTAAAATGCATAGTTTATGCACCAGGTATTCTAATAATCCCACTTGTTTGAAGTATTTCCAATAAATTAAAATTATAAAATTAAACCCAACTTAAACAGTCCGGTAGATTTTCTAAGTTCTTGGCTGTAAACCTCCATTGTTCTTAATTTTCTTTTATGGGTATGTTTCAGTCGTGGTGCAACTGAAATGAACAAAGTAAAACTTGTATTTGAAAGAAAATATGGATTCAAAATATGATACAAACATTCGATGGTCAGAAATAGACATCATATCGGAAATTTTGTTTCTGCTATCATGCTGTCTTACTGCCTATATAAAAAATTAATAAGTCTTGAAGGAAACATGAATATTTTAAAAAACAATTTGCTAGTATCATCCTTGTATCGATATTTAAAATATATTTAAATCAAAATTAAAACAGTATTGCCTTCAAGTCTGCTTCCCTAAGTAACCCTAGGGCCACTCTCAAAGGAAAAACTTAATGGTAACGTTGAAATATCTAACCAAAGTTAGGCTTTCAGTTTATGCAGCGAGGCATGTAAGTGATTCAAGACGGATTCAAGTGAACAGAGGGGATAGCCAAGCAATGTACCCGGTACATGTACATACATACATCAGGCCTACCCAACTACCAGACTCGGCACCGAATGATCCTGAATTCACCGGTAGATCAGACCACAATACCCGTTTTCAAGGTGTGTGTCAGATCGCATTACACAGTATCAGATGCGACACCGCTCTTGCTTAGTATTTGTTCAGGATATGATAGTGATACTGGATCATTCGGTGCCGAGTCTGGTAGTTGGGTAGGCCTGTACATGTAATGTGCCGTAGAAGCAAAATTTACACCTGCAGATTCCCTGTAATACATATTATCCACTTTAACTAGTTTCTTATACTACTCAAATAAAGTTGCCATGCCAAAAGAAAAAATTAATTAATCATTTGGTCAGCCCCCCCCCCCCCCCCCCCACATCTGCCCAAAAAATAGCCATAACACTGCCCCTTTTTCAAATTTGTGGTCAGAAACTTGGCCTATTCATCTCCATTGCCCTGGTTCACAAGACCGCCAAATGACGCGGTAATATGTGGCTACCAACTGAATAGATCTAAATATCTAAATGAGAGGGGGAAATGACCGAGGGTTATATACATAGCACCGAAAGAAAACAAAATGTCTCAGGTATGAGACCATGATCTTCGGCATTCTTCGGGCTTTGCTATTTGAAACAATACGGTGGCATTTGATCAAATTTAATGGCAGAGATTTGACTGCGTATATAACTAAAATATTTAGTTATATAGTCAAATGCACTGTGGTGGTACAGAGGGAAAAATAAAATTACCTGCCGTCATTAACAAAGCAATCTGCAGGAGGGCCTCCAGAACAGGGGTTATTATCGTCAGCAGAGTCACCGTTGAAATTTCCACACAACGCATTTAGTAGTCCAGCATATGCATCTGTTGTAAAGAGAAACATGTTTAAATACAACTGAACAACAATGACCTATTCAGGTGATTTTACAATACTGACACAAACAATTATTATCCTTTCGTATCTATTCTCTCACATGGTTTTGATGCAGGAACTATGAAAATGGGGTCCTTCAGTCAATCTGAATGCAATAAATGGATAAAAAGACTCACATGGGACCTTTGAACAAATGAATTATCTTAAACAGTCTTTTTAAAAGAGGAACTAATTAAAAGTTCTGGGTAGCTCAAACGAACACATTGGCTTCTTATGAGGCCCATGAATGAGCCCTCAGGTGATATTGCAAATTGTCCAGACACTTTAAACATTTATTGTTTTGTTTTTTATCTGGCGGTATCTTATGTACATTTCCAATCACCTTACACTTGCCAGATGGGTTTACCCATTTTTACACATCTCTGCCTCCCACCCCCACCCCGTCTCAATCTGTGTGTGTGTGTGTGTGTGTGTGTGTTTGAGCGGCTGCATGGTTGCCATTTTACCTGGAACAGATATTATGGCCATATGTCCTTTACGCCTTAATCTCCCAACAGGGGTGGTGAGTTCAACTTTCACAACACCAGGCACATCTACAACAGTCCTTGGAAAGCCGGATGAGTCAAGAGACAAAATCACTCCGCTGCCTATGTTTTGTGGATGGATTGTTGCAGTGACGACCACATTGTTAACCTGGAGTGGAAAGACAATAAATAAGGACCCATTAACCTTTCAGTTTGTTATAACACATTCAGTAATGTTTCTTTCAACCTATAATGGTATATTTTATGGCCAATTTATGGTCGAACCGACGTGTATTATATATGCGATGTATTGATACTTGAGATTTTCATAATGGCTAGATTAGCACCGTTTGCACTACAAAGAGGCAATTCAAGGCATATATATATATATTACTTTGTTATATATAATACTATATATATATATGATTTGTACTTTGCTTGAGCTGGCACGTGCTAACAAGGTTTCAAAATGAATTTAAAATATTTCCATTTGCATTCCTTCACTGATAACAATAGGTCTTTAGCAGCTAGATGACTTCATAGTTCTTTTGATTACTGAAGAGCAAGCTAGCTGCAAAAGGCCTATTGGTTAAACCCATTCACACGCACCTTCACTATTCCATCTGTAGTCACCTCAACGGTCATATTGCGCAGACTTATCAAAACCTGCTGGATCATGGTCCTAGTACTGCCGGGCTTATTATAGTCGAATCTACCAGTTATGCTGAACTGCTCGGGGGCTCCTGGCAGAGTTTCTGACAGCCTATGTGTACAGAACCCGCTGAAAAGGAAGCGTTTTCCATCGTATTGTTGAAAATGGGGGTCCCCTCTGACTGTACACTGACCCGCTGAAAATTGTAAAATTATGTTTATTAATAAAGACCTCTTTAAGAATTTTAGGCATTCAATTGGTCAGTTACGCTGGTTTATTCTGTACAATACCAGTGCGCATGTGCTTTACTGGCACCCATTGTTTTGCTTTAATTCACTGTTAATTGGCTTGATTATAAAAATAATTTCTGCATGATTTGCAAGGATAAAAGAAAATTGGAAATATCTTTATTACATGTATATCAAAATTGAGATGGAAAGTAAAATAGGTCGTTTTTTTAGTGCAAGTTTACTGTCCACCGTCTTTCTCATTTTTTTTTTTTTTTTTTTTTTTTTATAAGGATATTCCATGATAGGTCATCACATAATTTGGAAGTTTTTCACAGCTCATATTGTCTGTCAGTTTTCCAATAAAAATCACAAGTCGTTTCTTACTGTCTTCAGGTAAATGTTCCCGCTTTTGTCTTGTAGTAATTAAAATGAATTTATAGGGAATTACTTTGTTTAGTTTTTGGTGTAGTTAAGAAGTTGTTTTCTCGGCCACTCCGCCGAGTCATCTGCACACACACACGCACACACACACTACGTCTCTAGACATAAAGTCATCTTTCTTTGCAGTCAGCATTAGAGTGCATTTTATCGTTAACACAAAAAAGCATAACTAGGCAATCTTTTATTTTCAAACTTATGGAAATAATTCATTGTACTGATATACAGGTTAAAATCGAAAACAAGCCTGATCAGATTATTAAACTTGCAGTTTCTTTGTGAAATATTTACATTTTCAAAATGTACATGCACGTGGCTTAGAACTTTCATGTGCTTGAATTCATATGCTAGTTGCAGTCATTGAATAATCTGGATATCCTTCTTGAAGGATATATTTTAATTTAAGACATGTTGGTGATTATATGCTGTTCAGCATAATGTTACCGCTTCCTCTCTCAAACATCGCGTTTATCCTTACCGCTTTTTTCGGTATGTGCCTAGACGAGACATGTTGGCTCAATTTTTTATTGGAATTCAACCACCTAGCGACTTATTCTCTACAGAATGCTCTCAATGTTATCACGTGAAAACAAGCCTTTTCCATGCTGGTGACGAATCTCGTGAAATATCGCTAAAATTGCAAATACTAAACGCAGAGCGCGCTGTACATGTGTTTGTAAAGACAAGCATTGCGTGTAAATATTAAGAATTACAAATACTTTTTAAACTTATAAAAAGGAACATCTTGATTGTATGCCAAATATTGCACGTTTCAATATGCAAGCGTCTTCCCCACCTTACGCGTACTCGACCTCAAATTCAAAACCATAGGCTATAAAAGCATAATAAATTATGTAAGCATGTGGCATATGGTAGTTGCATAGAAGATTATAGTTTCTTAGAGCATGCCTCAGTTGTACAGGTAGCTCTAACTGTTCTTAACTGACGGACTCGAAATGTACAAAAGGCAAACGTTACCAATTAAAGGATCCGTCTACCCAAAGACGCAAATAGACCAAAATAAAAAGAAAATCCGTGGATATATAACCAGATAAAAGTGTCACAAAACACTAGATATTAGCAATCGAATTCCATAATTTCAAAAAGCGAAACAAAAATCAGGATTATCTATGTTCGGATCATACCGGGCACCATATTGCCCAGGGTGACCTTTATTATCAGTAACTTACTTACATTATAGGTCCCCTACATATACATATCACAGTGACAGCATAGCAAGAGACTATGTTTCACTAAAATGGTTTGAAGAACTAAAGAGATATAAGATGCAGTGGGTACTGCATAGCCTAACAATTCAATTCGCTGAGTGCGCTCCAGAAGCAGAATGTATTTTACAACCGACCATATTTTGGAACCGTTCTGCAGCACTTCGGCCTCTTGGTTTTAGTTTCATATTTTCGTATTAAACATAACTGTTTCAACCCTGATTTTGTACCCACCCCCTAAGTCTTTTAAATTTTTAAAAAGCATTCTTGCCACAATGTCGCCACTATTCATCATAAATTCATTACCATACGCACCACAATTTTCTGCTACTGTATACCCAGATGGAAATACAGAAAATGCACAGGGCTTCAGGTGGATGGGAGTTAAAAGTCACATCTTGAAGATACCAGTGTTTGAAAAAAAATCGAAAGAAAACATAACCAAAAAAATTTAATAAAGCTGCTATTCAGAATTTTAATCTAGCTGTATTAGCATGATATGAATAACCCCACTGAGTTTGAGGATAATAAGGCACTGTTATTCATCTATAGCATTAATGTTTACTTGCAATATTGAATAACATTTACCTGTATAACTATCACTGATTCCCAATTATATGATACTTTCAATTTAGACTTTTACAAACTGGCAGAAAGCTAAAGAGGAAAATCTCAACATGTGAGTTTTATGTTATCTCTTTTAATGGCCACTTGAAAATTAATTAAGCAAGTGAGTTAATAGCTCTGAATTTAGCTAGTGATTACCCAAGGGACAATTACATACTGTTCATCATCCATACAGCATCATACAGCACTCTGTGAAAAAATGAACATTTCATAAAGAACTGCATTGCTTCCAAAACAGAAAACAATCACACTGATTTTCCAACACAAGCTTTGGTAAGTTTGAGTATCATAAGAAACATGGTTTTCCCTTAATGGTCATCCAGCAGTGTCCAAAATAGGGTTTTTCTTCAACTTTTATCAAATATTACATAATGTTTAACAGCACAGTGACCGTCGTTTTTTAATAATAAAATAAAAGTATCATGGATATTCAGAAAATATGACTAGCAAAGGTCTTCAGGCCCATGGAAATTCAAAGTCACACCTTGAAAATTTTGATATGTGAAAATTTTAATTTTAACAAAAAACTATATTATTTCCAGAAAAGACAGGTTTTCCATTTGAAGTCGTATTTTAGTCTTATGTTACTTTTCTGTAAGTGTGAGACCATTCCCACAGATATTTGGATCGATCTATCTCACTAGGGAGTTTCACTAAATTGCTGTCAACTTGGCCGGCTAAAATGTCTGCCACGCCTAGTAAAGCTGTTAGGGGGTAATTAGCTTTACGTGCTAGCTGATTCGGTAGGCGTGACGGACAGTTAAGCTGGTTAGTTGATAACAATTTAGTGAGACTCCCCAGGGTGTATGGGAACCCAGTCTAAGTGACATGGTTTTCCTTTAATGGCCAATATGCAGAACCCTGGGTTCTAGATTTCAGTTTTGCCAGCTCGATCTTGATTTCATATATAACCCATATCAACAAAACTGCCTGCTTCACAGTGACTCTGACACTCAGGGCAATATGCAGAAGATTATGAAAAGAACACTTTTACATATCAAATTGGTTCTATAATGAGACTGTTAACATGCCTACGAATTAAATCTGAAGAAAAACCACTTATAAACAAAAAAGGCAAAACTTCATCAAAACTTAACCGATCAAGCTTCTTTTCTAACTTGATCTGTATATTAGTGAGACTGATCACTCCTGTGAGTTGCAAGAGAATAGGATGATCGGTTTTCCTTACAATGCCTTATCAGTGTTGCATATTTGCTAAAAAAAAAGTGAAAAAAAAAAACACCATAACTTTTGTAAAAATGGTCCAATCAAGCCGATATCCTAACTCAACCTGTGTTTAATAAGATTAATCACACAAACAATAGGCCTATCGGTTTTCCTTGAAATGTGTTATCAGTGTTACATATATGCTGAAAAGAGCAAAAAAACAGCATTACTTTTAAAAAAATGACCCGATCATGATGATTTTCGAGCTTGACCTGCGTATTATGACCTGCGTATTATGAATATTCATCAAGTCTCAAGCCAAAAGGTAGAATGGTTTTCCACTTATCGTGCTGCTGCTGTAAAAAAAAAAATAATAATAAATAAATAATAATAATAATAATAATAAACGGCATTACTTTTAAGAAAATGGTCCGATCAAGCTGATTTTTTTAACTCAGCCTGTATTTTAATAAGTTTGATCACATCTGTAGGTTTCAAGATAAAAGGCCTATCGGTTTTCCTTGAAATGTGTTATCAGTATTACATATATGCTGAAAAACGTGAATAAAACAGCATAACTTAAAAAAAAAAGACCCGATCAAGCTGATTTTCGAACTCGACCTGCGTATTATAAATATTTATCAGTTCTGTAAGTTTCAGGCTAAAAGGTAAAATGGTTTGCCACTTATCGTGTTGTCGGTGAAAGTGCACGACAGCGACGACAGACGCAGGTGACGGCTATATGTACAGACACATCTGTGTCTGTGCATAAAAAAGGCTAAACCAATTTTTTCAGTCGAAACTTAAGAGGGTTATTTGTATGTCTAAAAAGGAGATTCTGTCTGAAAACGCATTTCGGACAAGCCAACATGGTACTTATATGGCCATGATGTTGTGATCAGATCGTACATTCTCAGACGATAGGCCTACAACAAATTGACCATGAAAGTAATTTGATATTTCTTATCTTTTAATATAAATTATCAATAAAAATCAAAGCCAAGGAAAATCAACGATTTGACGTTTTATACTATTTTAATTTGATAATTGTTTCTGTAAATGACTGGTCACTTCATAAAAAAGGAGATTTTGCATCGTGGCCTAGTATCCAGTAGTATTTTCTGAAATTGCAAGATGTGCGGGCTTGCTACCATCTTGCATTAAGAAAATTGAAAACGAAAAAAGCGACGTTAGGTTAGCTTCGGATTAACTTTTTAAAGTGGTTTTATCGTTTGTAAGGTCTAAATAGTGAAATATAAGAAGCTTTACAGGATAAATACAGTATATGACCGCGGGTCATTTTTAAACACGTGCTGCATATTACAAATTTTAAAAGGCTTGCAAATTGCCTTCAATTTTCAAATTTATATTTTATTCATTATTCTGCGACTTAACATTTACTTAAATTTCCGACACAAAGCATAAGAAAAAATTAAATACTCACCGGTTTGGTCAAATTGTTGAGAGAGAAGCAAAACAAATGCAACAGCTATTGGCAGCATTTTGACACAGAGGAAGATGAGAGATGTCCAACCTTGCTGTCCGGGAGAATGCCACGTTATTATCGTATATTTAACTTATCTGTATTAAATACACTAGAAAACAGTTGAGAATCGACATCGCGCATGCGTTTTTTTTTTTTTTTTTTGACTTCGTTGTGATTGGCAGCTGCACCTCGACTTTGAAAAAACCGCATACACTCCTTAAAAGGCAGTGTAGTCCGAAATCTGTTTCTTTGACAAAGCTCAACCCAGTTTTCAAAGGATTTGTAGCCAGGTAGATATGACATATCGAAAGAAATCGCGTGGTTAATTTATTTAATACCCTGTCAAGGCGGGCACGATGCGTAGGTTAATACATCGCAAATACAGACTTGACATTTAATATGGAATATTTTTTCCACGTCATTTTTCATCAGTTTTTTCCTATTTTGCAGACTGATAAATGAAAATAAGGATTAAAATCGTGTTTTAATAACTTTTAATTATTTGTTTGATGTCATTGTGACATCAGTTCATTGATGGAATTCGCCAGAGAAGCAAACAAAAACACATTGCCTATTCTATGTCATACGACAACCATTAAAAGGGATATTTTGGACCTCCATATTTTCCAAATTATTGTCTGTAAAAGAGTTAAACGCTCCACAAAGGACCCTCATGTCAGTGTCTAGTCACAGCAACAGTCGCTGTTACGCCTGACTTCTTCTGGCTGCTTCCAGCGCTCTCAAGTGGCAAGGCATTCCTTGGGATAGGTTTTTAAAGTTCAATCTGGAATAACATTCCAGGCATCGGTCAAAATCTGCCCAATTTGGTCCAGATTTGTTGTAGGACATGTAGGCCATTGATTCGGAGAGTAATGGCCTACCCACATATTGTCTATGTGGTTCAAATATGGCGATTTTGATGACCAAGGTAGCTGCTCATTCCTTTGGTTCTGTAAGTAAACTGCAATTAAAAGTGCTCTGTATGAACCGGCAATCTCACCGTGCAACCTAAAATTGTTCGTAAGTTGTCCCTTATCAAATGATAGCCAAGTGGTTCCCAGATTATTTCTTTATTTGATCTGGTTCAGGTTTTCGTCGATGACTACCACTGGTGTTTTGGCACCAATGTGGTATCCACTCCAAATACTGACGCTGTTAATGACCTTAGTCACTTTAGAAGCGGCACACGCTTCGTCGTTGGTCTCCTCTGGACGTCTGTAAACGATGTTTTGACTGTTGAGCGGTACAGGTGAAATCTGACCTCAATAAAGAATGCCACGAGATTTCAGTGTTCGACCCAGAAACAGTCAAGGTCCCCAATTCAATAGAGAAACATACAACGATGTTTCGCTGTTTACAGTGGGTTCTTCGGATGTCGTCTGGTATTCTAACCTGCTAAAACAAGTTTGGTGTTCGCTAAGGGCTTTGAAAAATGCGTTTTGGTGATAATTTACCCCTCATTCTGAACGGACTTGGTGGTTTTTGTTTAGTTGCAATAGCATATCTCGAAAGACAGTGGGTCCTGTACCCTGGGGGTAAGATTTCAATACATTGGGTGTGTCCTCTGTGTAGGTACATCAGTCTGGTCATTACTCTATAAAACTGTGCGGACCGTTTCGTTTGGCGCAATTACCTGGTTGGCAATGCCTGTCTTTTTCGCGCCATTCTGCCATAGATTAACAAAATTTTAAAGCACTGCATAGCTCATTTTACACACTGCAAACCCGACCACTTGCATTCAAAATTACAAATTTTTCTATGCAGTAGTTGCCGACATATGGATACTTTTTTGACAGAACCATGCTTTGCCAAAGCCAAGCTTTGATCTGCCCAAAGGAGCACTACCCAATTAAATCACTGCATATTACATAATGCAGCAGCACAACAAACCTGATAATCAGTTAATTGGTAGCGACACACCTGACTGCACACTCCTCCATTCACATATTGTATATGAGATCGGAGTTTGTGAAAAAAAAAAACGCATTTTCACCTAGGCATACATTCGAAACTGAAATATTCCATATTAAATGTCAAGTCTGTATTAATAATAAACAATCGTATCCAACCTCTGATTCCCTTTGAACGGGAAATTTTTCAACGCTACATATTTTATTTACTATTAAGTCTCCACTCCTCCTCTCTCAGTATTACTTTCCACGAGAGACAAAATCACATCATTAAGAGACCCTTTTAATTAGGCGACGGAAGATAGTGCGTAAGACTTTTGGAGGTTCTTTTTTAGTGATAATACTCTATATAGGTTTCAGGAAAAGCTGAATACAGGTATTCATATCTTCCCTGCCTGATACAGCGCTTAGCAGACCTGAGACCTTATGTATGACCTTATGTATGTATGACGTATGTTGTGTTCATTTTCATTTACTGGCAATAATTAAGTTTGTATTTGTCAAACTTTTTTTCCAAAAAGTTCATCACATCTTACTTTGTTACTAAAATGCCATTTACTTTTTGTGGCGCACATGTATGTTTGTGGGGAGTATTGAATGAGTATTGTGAAAAAAAATTAAAAATTACTAGCGTTATTTAGTCTCGAATATATTTGTTTATGATTATAGACTCGCATACTAGGAGTCTGTAATGTGTAAGACATAGCCTACTACTGTCCGTCAACATGCTTGCAAGAGTTTAAGATTTATTAAAGTATATAAAAGTGTAAAGTTAACATTATTAATTTGAGACGTTAGAGACGTTTTGCATTATTTGAATATACTCTATTTATTGCATCAGGACACATATTGTACGGAAAGTATAAATCTCTAATCCATACTTTATGGGGTTATGAAAGACGGTTAAGGCCCTATCACACAGTCGTGATAGTGTATTTCACAGACGAATGAGGAAATTTACACAGAGAAACGTAACGGTTTCGTGTGACTTACGTCGTATATGTTTCTCTTATGCAGGTAAACATTGCTGTACGTTCGCATACGCAGAAGATGATAATTTTGCGAATGTTCCAAAATTCTCAGCGTATACGAGCGTTCGAGTCGCACGTTATCCATACGTTACCCATACGTGAGTGATACGCCAGGCATACGGTAGAATGACGTTCCAATTACGATAAGATACGTTTTTCATACGGTGACCGATATAGCTACAGGCGTTGGTGTACGTTTACAGACGCAGCAAGAGGAAAATATGTTCAAAATTTTAGCGTATACGCGCGTTTTAGTCTTACGTTACCCTAACGTTACTCATACGTGAGAAATGGACTAGGCATACTAGGAATAAGCTGGACTAACGCTAAACATACGTAACAGCCACGCTTCTACTGCGGTGGTTTGATATACGCAGTGTATGGATAGCGTATATGCAAGGTTTTACTGACGAACTCGTGAGGTATGGGACGTGTCTCTACTAATGAATTAACGTATGTCTGCCGTACAATATACATATCCGTATATTAGTGTAAGCCGAATGCATTTTGTGTTTACCTAACGCATGACTTCCGTTCGAGAAACGCATCTTCTGCGCTAATAAAACGCTCAGTGACACGTAGATATACGGTGAATATACGCTTCACTTACGATGACACGTCAATATTTTTGCGATATTCAAACGCAGGTTATACGGTGTAAACACGTTTTCAAATACGCTTTTCTACGTTGCTTATTTGTTATTTCTCGTACGCTATAAAATTGTGACTTCATACGCTCAAAGTTGTGGGGATGATCCATTTCACATACTATGCGTATACGTATCTTTTTTACTTTAGATGTGACAGGGCCCTTACTCCAGAAGCAAGGGGTAATAAAGCACCCGTCACGAGAAAATTGTTGATGATAATGGTACTAACGTGGTTATAGAAATCGAAGTGGAAAATGAACACTACATTTTACTTCTTAATCTGTATGAACCAAATAAAGACGGAACTAATTTAGCATTTTCAAGTTGGTAATTTTACCCAACGAAAATATCAAACAACTGAACTGACATTTCTTTCCAGCATCACAACAGCATACAGTTAAATTTAATCTGTTTTTATTTTATATTTCTTTTATAGGATCGAAATGGCTTAATAAATACTATGGAAATGATTGTTATATGTTTAGCTTTTACAGCTGATAATGTCAAAAAAGACATTCTTTGTCCCCATAATTTATTATTTCATATCTGAACATAAAAAGTGTCTGCAGTCTGGCGGAATCACAAAGTCAACATAAATCCTTGATTTACTCTGCCTCCATTTCCACACTGGTCGCAAACTCTGCCTATGTTCTGTTTGCTTTCAGACTGAATTTTAGCCCAGATATATCCATCTTTTCCTTTCACTGGTATGTATTCCTCGTCACAAATATCGTCTCCGGATGTGGTGGGGTCACAGACGTCAATTCATCTTCAACGCCCTCTAGTGCCCAATTATGGTCACATAGTTCCAACGCTTCCCATTCAGCCTGGAAATAAATAACAGACTCATAAAGCTGAACACCATAATGAGAGAACAAGTAGAGAATGCGGGAGGAAAGGCATCAAACTTTCTGCTGGGAGTCCCTGGCCAATGAGTAGAGGCATATAGAGATTTGAAAATGAAGTGGGCACAGAGGCTTGCTACCCCGAGTTGCACGTGTTGACAGCGACTCCCTACGTATGGTCTCCATCCAAAACATGAAAAAAACTTGAGTAAATCGTCAAAACTAACCTTAAAAAGTTATTTTTCTTCAATGAACAGATAATACTGATATTGTTTAATTCTCGAACCTTGAAAGCTTTGGCAGGGTCCTGTGGCATGGCCATGGCAGCTCCTGACATCTGATCCTGCATCACCTTGGTCTGATCTGCAGCTGAAATGACACAGAATGATACAGTTTTACTCAATAAATTCAAACCACAAGGATAAACAATATCACCCCCCCCCCAAAAAAAATAAATAAATAAATAAATAAATAAATGAAATTTTTTAATTTAAACATATAAAAAATCAAAGAAAATATTTGTTTATAATTCGTAAAACTGTTGATTAGAATATTATCAAAAGTTGGCTGACTTTCTGTCAGAAGGTATGCTGTTGTTAGTGTCTTGAAATTTTAAAAAGAAAAAAAATTTGAGAAAATTTTAAGTAACTTGACAGCAAGGTTGGTACATAAACAGACATGAAAGATTACTTTTAGAAACAGATTCATTGTTGCCTCTGAAAGATGGATGATTCTTAAGCTGACAAAATTTAAAATTATTTTCTTGAAAATAAAATTGATCCACCTAATATGGTGTCAAGCTGGAATTCTTCTTAAAAGAAACAAATTAATGTTTGAAAACTTGATAAAAATATTTTATTACATGATTCAGTGGAAAGTAAGGTAATCTTTATGTGGAAAAAAATAAAGTAATGAAATTATAGTCAGCTTACCATTATCTTGACCAAGAATGAGATTATACATGCTTCTTAGTCCAAATACATTGAGGAAATACCAACTAGCTGAGCTGACCCTGGAAAAAAATTAATAATATACTCCATCACATTCAATAAAGCAGTACCTGTATAAACATAATCAAACAGTTACATATAATACCATCTTATTAACTATTGACATTCTTACAATGAATGTTAATTAGTACTTTCAATTGACATATAATAATATTTTGATCTGGTATTTCAAGCAATTCATTGCTAAAATGTTGTTTGACGTCTGCATCAGATGGAATCATTACTTTCTAGAACAATATAAAATATAGGAAAGTTGGATTATGATCTCAGTACAGAATTTAAAGAAGTTAAAATATATAATTAAATTTATGTATAACAATTCTCTCTACCATGATGCATCCAGCGAGATCAATTCTACACCTCTCTGTAACATGGGCTTGAAGCGAAAAGTGAGCGGAAAAGGGACTTTAGCTGAAATAATATTTTAAAAATTGCTGATTTGACATAATATATGATCACATTAAAAACAGAGGAAAGAAAATCAGACAAAATAAACTTTTTCGAAAATATTATTTTATTCTTAAGTAGCAGAATGAAAAGTCACACAGGCTACGTTACTTTTTTCACATTAAACATGGAAATTTTAATAAAAGAAATAGCAACACATTGCTATTTTTATCAAATTTCAAAGACAATATGTACATTTACAATATTCTAAATTTTAGCTTGTCCACTCTGACATCTTTTAAAAACTACCAACCATGTTACTTACTTGTAAGAAACCCAGAGAAAGCCCAGTTGATCCAGCCCCCAATCACTATCATGGGCAGCACATTGGTCACATTACCTTTTAACATATCTGTCATCATACTGGGATCTGAAATATAGAACGACTTATACTAGTCTGTGCCATAAACTTTACTCCCACTGGGCCTTTGGTACACCAGGGTCTAAGGGCACATTCACAACAAGTTGATCTGCCTAGAAACAGATTTGTGGATAAAACATGGCCAACCCACTTGGAAGCTTGCCATAGAATCCCCTAACAGACACTGAATAGATTCACCCTGGGATTACGCTTTGAAGTGGGTGGCCATATTTGATCCCCAGACCCAGATCTGACGGTCGGTAGATCAACTTTGGTTGTGAATGCAGCCTAAGAATTCACTGGTCAAATAAGGGGCAGTAACTGAATAAAATTTTACTGGCCACGGCTTCATATTTACTGTCATTTGGTATGGGGCTCGTGTTAATATTGTAGACTTAAATATTCATTCAGATTAAAATACAGCAGCAGGTAGACATGTTTACAACACATTAAAGATGTTAATGTTTGTCCTTTAAGATTTGTTGACTTTCAGCCTACCAATCATAAATAACAAAGCAATTTATTGAAGTCCATTTCCATTCAAAATGAACTACCTAACCTGTCATAGGATTTTTCATCTGTGGTTCCTTCTTCATTCCCTCTTGTAGCACCCCTGTCTCCTTTTCATTAAAATAACTTTTTCTCATGGCAAAGGCCTGAATATTGAAAAGATAAAGCAAGATGCATATCGACACTTGGAAAAGAGGCAACTGTTTTATTGATCACAATCAATATGTTCAAAAAAATTAACTGCATTTGTAAAAAAAGTTCATAATTTCATTTGCACACACAAATGCTGTTGTTTCAGATTTCAGTTTTTAAACATGTAACTTTAATTAAATCTAAAATCTTAAAAAGTTATTGCCCCAGAGATTCTTTTTATAGAAATATACATGACATGGTATGAAATGTCTGTTCACCTCTACTTACCTTTGAAGTTAAATATCTACCATTTTCTCTTAATAATCTGCATCTGATTAGGTTTTGACTGAAACAAATAAACAGTAAACAATCACAGATGTGTTAAGTATTTTCCTGGTAGTAGCATCGTATTATCGGTCTCGTATTATAACTACTAACATTATCATTAAATTTATAAATTACAGTGAAGCTACTATATTTTAACTCCCCCCCCCCCTTCACCTCCCCGGCAGTGTATGAAATTCAAGGAAATTACTAGCCAGACCGCCGGGCAGGTAACTCTGAAAAGTTACCAGCCCGGCCATGTAGTTACCTGCCCTATATATGATAACCCCTAGAGTTAAGAGAGGTATGCTGAGGGGGTCTAGAACGCATTCTTGGGAGAGTAATTTGGAAATGAAAGGGCAATATCATGCCTTATGCATGGAAATTTAGAAATTGTTTGGAATTTCTACTGAATGATACCTTGTCAGTGTTAGATTTGGAGGGGGTCAAGGGGCTCCTGACGCCCCCCTTTTAATTTCTGTAAAAAAAAAAACTCACCTCTTGAAATAAGATTTTCACTAGTTGAATCATAGTTCTAAACCATACCAAATGGCACCATTCACCATCTAAAATACCAAAAATTTTCAGGGCCCTTTAGCAGTCGAGGAGGGCGGGGGTAGTCAATTCAGTTTATGTTCACCTTGCAGGCTGTCTCATTTCTTCGTCAATAATTTATTCATAACTTTTATTCCGATTTCGTGATATAATTTGATCATAATTTTTGTTTTTTTTTGTATAGCAACAAGTATGACCAAAAATATATATATTGTTGTCAAATAAATCGATCTCTGTGCTAACAATAAAGAAGAAAAAATTTAGCACGTAGGGTCCCTTTGAATATCGCTTTTAAGCTTTAAAAAGCGGTCGGGAACGGTCTTGCACGCTAATGGCCCTTAGACAGTCCTGCAGGGCAACGTATCTCGAAAGCATTGCTTATTGAGAATACTAGTAGCTATATATATCACATAGAGGCTACAATATCATTTTTATATGGGGCGAGTATGGACGAGTTATTGGATCGAGATGCTTGCGCTCGGTCGCAATGCATGATACTTTCGAGTTACGGTTTTACCNTGCACGCTAATGGCCCATAGACAGTCCTGCAGGGCCCCGTATCTCGAAAGCATTGCTTATTGAGAATAGCTATATATATCACATAGAGGCTACAATATCATTTTTATATGGGGCGAGCATGAACGAGTTATTGGATCGAGATGCTTGCGCTCGGTCGCAATGCGTGATACTTTCGAGTTACGGTTTTACGAAAAAAAATGTTGCCGCTCGACTAATTGCAAATCGAAGTCACCTTTCCATTGGTCCCAATTTGTTCTCTTTCGTTTGGTTCTGTCGTAATCTTTGTTAGTTTTATTTCCTTTCCTCAATTGTTTTTCTTTTGTGAACTTCTCTATCGGACTTGATAGAATTTTTCATTTTTGACAGCCCAAGATGAAAGCACGTGGGAAAAGAACTACATCTGACGCACGGCGTAAACTCGTACGTTCACTCGTAATTTTGGGATTCAAATTTTTTGTAAAATTCTCCTTTTATTTGCCTCCATTGCCTTTATTACTGTTGATTATAAGCACTTCATGTACCTATAAGTCGATTTAATCAATATCAGAACTTTTTATACTTTCACTTTTTTTATTACTCTCAACCTACAAATTGCTACTCGCGGTATCTCCTCTACACAAAACAATGACGTAACGTTATCTGCTGTGCACTGAAGCTGGTTAAGAACATTGTGCCTCGTTTCAAATTGTCTTTCAACTTCATATCACACAGACAGAACTTCGAAAACGAGGCCACTGAGAGGGAGACTGTTGGTTACATTTCGATACGAGCGTTCGATTGCAAGCTATGGTTAGTTCTTTGCTTCTATGAAAGTGGGTGAAAACAGTGAGTTTATTTGATATTTTGCTGAAATCGCTTGTGAACATAGACAAAATAAAAGGTGAAAATAGGCTGTAAAAACAGCCAGCCCGTCGGGCGGGTAATCTGCAAATCTTACCCGCCCGGCCTGAAAGTTACCAGCCTCGGGCTGGCGGGCAGGCGGCCATTTCATACACTGTTAATTACTGCTCTTGGGTAATAAACATTTTTGTTTTGTGTTAAGACACAACAGCAGTTAAACGCTAGGATTCCTGATCGAGTGTGTGGGGCCTTGAATTAGTTTTTAATTGGATTTCCTGACCTATATTTATGCATGTGGCTGGAAGTCCATTTAGTTTTGTATGTGCTTCTGCTGTTCTCTACATTTCTCAAGGACCCATGCACATTCATTAAAATGACTGGTTCATCAATCTCCGTTTCATGTTCGTTAAATTTTAAGGGTATAGTTGGCAGAAATAACGACGTCAAAAATAGAATCAAACCCCCCCCCCCCCCCCCCCCCCCCCCCCCGGGATAGCCACACCTAAAATATTATACTAACATTCCCGGAAACCCATGCATATCGTCAATGGTAAGCTCATCAGCCCGGAAGGTTTCATGTTCCTAAGTGTAATGGCGTAAGGGTAGAAGCACGAATAACGATGTAAAATTTAAAATCAACCTCCCCAGGGACGGCCACACCCAATGTCACAAAAACCCAGAAGGACTCATTCACATCCCCAAAGACAGGGTTTTCAATCCCCATAACCTAACGCTCCCAACTTTATTGGTCTAAGGGTAGATATCAGGAATAACAATGTCAATTATACTCAAACGCCCACAGGACCTCCCCCCCCCCCCCCCGAAAATCCGAAGTGCCCTTCCACATCCAAAATGGTATGTAGCCATGTTTCATGTTCCTAGCATAAAAATGTAAAAATTAGAATAGACTACCCCCAGGGTCGACCACACCCCAATTCACAATTAAATTCCGAAGAGCCTTTGCAAATCCCTATAATGTTAGGTTTATTAATCCCCGACGTATCAAGTTTCTAACTATGATGGTTTAGGAATTAACAATGTGAAATAGATTATGCATGTATATAATTGTCCACCCCAGGGGAAGGCTTGACCAATGTCAGCGTACCTAGCCGAGACAACACCGTCCCCATTCCAATTCTACCTCTATAGAACTTCACACTATTTACTGACCAAGAAAAAATTATGGTTGCAAAATGCGTTCCGATTGAAAAATTTTCACGATTTTCTTTGATTGCAAAATGCGTTGCAGTTGCAAAATGTGTTCATCTGCAAAAATGCGGCTCTAAATTTGCAAGCCGTATTTTGCAACTGAACCGGTTGCAAAATGCGGCTCTACACCAGTTTTATGAATTCCCAGCATTTCATTCTCCCCGACATCTATCTGGACCGTTTCAAATCATTCAGATTTCAGACTTTCCGATCTTAAACGTTTTCAATAAGTATACTGACAGTCAATGAAAACGCATCAGAAAACTTTCTTGTACTTTTCTACTCTTGTCCTTTTGCCGAGAATCGATTCCAACCATATAAACAATTATGAATGCACTAGTTTGGTCATAAGAGAGTGGGCTGACCACTCGGATGTTTAAAGTTTCCGCTTCCATTTTGTGATCAGCTGTTACAAAATCATGTGTTTTTCCTGATTGGTGTGAATTAATCAGGTTCAATATATGATGATTAATTAAGCCTATTTAACGTAGTCACCAAATCCAGTATGACGCATGACAAAAAGTGCGTTCAATTCGAAAAGTCTGACACTGGAAGAGCAACTGCGGGCCCTGGGGATGCTAGAGGCTGGGCGGAACCAAAGAGATTTGATCACCTGACCTTGCATTTTAATGATCTTTTTCTAATGATCTTTTCTGACCTTTATTTCACCTTGTGTGACTGAATAAGGCCACACTTTTTTTTATTTTTATGGATGACATCCTGCGCGCGCACCGATTTTCGTCCCTTCTTCGGGAAAAAAAAAACCACCCCCAACGAAGTCGGTTGTCGCAAACGTCATTATTGAATTTGCCGGAAAATGCGCTTTCTGCGCATGCGTATTATCGCCACGTGGAAATATGGCCGCTTTCCCGTCAAATTCATCTCTAGGTTTACTTTCAAATTACACAACAATTTTAATTAAAAAGTCATAAAGAGAACGGGGGCCGTTGCTTTGGACTGGTATGCCACTGATATTGGGCATGGAGATATCACCTTTTTACAATTAAACGAAAGGCTGGCGGCGGCCAGCGATTATCGCCCATAAAATTTCAGTGACATTCCATCCCCAGAAATGCACTGCATGACGTCACGCTTAGCCCACTGCGCATGCGTGCACTTTTAATGAGTTGCTAGATTGCCATAGGAAAATGAATGGGTTCGCGATTCGTGGGTAATTCGTGATAATTGACAAACTAACGGCATGATGCCGATAGACAGCAACGCTGTACTATGCTTCAAGCAACTCCTGACCAAATATCGCTAGGGTTTTTAAAAAAATTCTGTTGTACACACGTACTAAGAAGTTTGCCGTGTATTGCCTAGCCTACCCTCAGCAAAACGCACATATTTTCAGAAATAGTAATTTTTGACGGTAGATTTACTCAGAAACAAAGGCAAACTAATTCGTTGCCGATAGCACCAGCAGATATCAGCACCATACAGAGTCTGATTAAAAAATTTCGTGGCAATTGAAGAACTTTTACCACTGTACAATGGGGTCCAAAAAAGCACTTGGCACAAATGTGAAACTGCCCAGTGCAAGGCCAAGAATTCAATCAGTATTTTCAATCATATTATCAGATTCTACATAAATTGACTGACAATATCACTACTCAGTATTTAACTAATCTCTTAATCCAAAATTCTTATCATCATTTAATAATAATGCAAAATTCTTCTTTCAGATTGCTATTTATTTTAAATTTTAATGTTGCAACTGTTCCAAAATAATCTTGTAGTAAAGGAAAAATGCAAATAAGAAGTGGAAGACCAATTTTACCCACATTATTCAATTATTTGAATATAAAAAGAATAAGATCACGATTTAACAAATTAAAATAATATTTCATGAACTTTTTCATAAATAACATATTAAACAAAATTAAAGTTATAAATTAGTGGTAATGGCTTATTCTGGAATGTATGACCTCTGCACATCATCAGTACCTGACTTGGTACAGTATAGGGGAGACCGGGGCTATTTGGACCCCGGGGTAAGTTGGCCCCCCGTCAATTTATGAAAAAGTAACTACGAGGTAAAAAAATTGGCCACATACTCTTGTAAAGTGACCGTAGCCTACAATACTAAGGAAGTGTCGTATGTTAAAGAGTTTTACTTAAGCGGTGAGTCCAAATGAACGATTTTTGCACCTAAAAGTAATTTTGTTTAAGAGAATTAAAAATCTATTTTCATAGGCTTTTAATGAAATATAATATATGTATAGGGCATCAAACTGAAGCTCAGTGTTTCAAGTTTCACAGAGANATACGCCGTGCATTGTAAGAGCGGGTTGAAATCTGATACTCTGGGGACAGTTTTAATGGCGCTTCTCGAAATAGAACAACTAACGCCACCTAGGGACGTCTGCGCTCGCTAACATGTGTATGTGTAAACAAGCCTGTTGACACATCTGTGCTTTTAATTTCTTTTCTGTAAAACTAAGTCAGTGTGATTTATGCTGGGACTCAGTAAATGACCCGTGCCAAAAGGTCAATGAAAAACTTACCCATTAATAAAACTATCGGCAAAATATTTTAAAAAGATGCATTGTGTTTTAGGAAAGTTCTGGATGAAAGGGATAAGATTTACAGTCAAATGTCAGAGTATTTGCAACTGCAAACCATCATTGAAAAGCTGCAGGTAATCATGCTGATAATGTTCATTTTTCCCTTATATTTGTATGTGTGCTTGAAAGCAGGCTAAGGAAATGAATTAAAAGCAACAGACTATTTTTAAAACAGTTGAGACATACATGCAAACAGTTTTATTGAAATATTGAAGTTGTTTATCAGCTAGATATCAATTTGTTAAAACAAGCAATAAGTACTACAGTATTTTTAAAGCATCTCCAGTTTGTCAAAGAGTGCTGTTCATGTCATTCAAAAATGAAAGGATTAATTACTTATTAGAGAAAAAAACAAATGCCACTTGTAATATGTTCTGTCATTTGATTGCAGGACACCAATTTGACAGAGGAACCAATAAGAACAAAAATAGATCTTGGCTGTAACTTTTACGTACAAGCAAAAGTGTAAGATAAGATTTTCCATAATGTTTAACCTTATTGAAAAAAGTGTAACCCTTGAATGTTTCTCTTACAAATCTGGGTCTGTTAGCAGTAACACCTATAATTGCAAATATTTTAAGAGTGTTGCCTCTTTTTGCCAAAATTAGGATCAAAAGGGGTGGGATGGCTTAATTGCATCAGAATGTTTATTTGAAGGAATATGGTGTCTATAAGTGCCACTAACTACATCTACATAATAAACATTTCTAAAATTTTTCAGGCCAGATGCATCCAAGATCTTTGTTTCAGTTGGTTTTGGTTTCTTTGTTGAATTCACACTTCCTGAGGCCATTCGCTTCATAGACAAAAAGATGTCCCATCTCAATGAAATCTCTGCCAAGCTTACTCACCAAGCTTCAGAAATCAAGGGGCACATAAAGCTTGTGCTGGAAGTTAGTTGCTTTTATTAATTTCAACATATGTAATTTTACTGCTAAAAGTGCATTTAAATTTAGAGTCCTAGGCACAGCTTGTTTAATTTGGCATAGGCTTTTTGTCCAGTCTTGTACTTATAAAGCCATGTGTTACATAATTGTTTTTCTGAAATGCATGTGCTCTTAGAAGTTGCTCATTTTCACTTACTTACATAAACAGTGAGGTAGAATTGTGGTTATTAATATACACAATTTCTTTTTCACAATCCAGGGGATACGTGAACTTCAGCATCTAGATGATGGCATCCCTCCTAGTCAAACTAATATCAGGGAATGAAGAAGGGAAGTGGTAACTTCTGAGATCCAACTCAGTGATGAAAATATCCCAAAGGATGCCCCTTCTACAAGTCATGATGGTGTTGGGCACAGGTGGCATATATCAGAGAGTGAGCAAGAGACAGGAGGTGTTTTTAGGAGTGAAGCAGCAAGAAGGCAGCTCCCAGTGCAGCTCTGTGACATGACCAGAGCTCGACTGACGTGAACACCATCTGTTTTTGTATGAATGTGACATAAATCCAACAAGTAGACCATGGTCATCATAATGGCAGGAAGTTGGTTTTTATCTTGAAGTTGTTTATTGTGATTCAAGTTACTGAAAATGTGAATCAGAGGTTTTTAGTTTGGAAATCAACTTGGGAGTACAAATACAAGACAGATTCATTGGATTGTTTAAATACGAAGGCACTGCCAAATGTCAGTGTGATGAATTAAATCCAAGAAAATTTAATCAGACTAATGCAAGTAACAAATGTGTAAATATAATTGTTATGTTATAATAATAAAATAATAATAATTTCTTTTAGTCTTAAATCCTTAAAATATTTTCAGTAGACTTTAGAGTTAGAAATGATAATTTAAGATTAAAAAGATAATGATTGATTATATAGATTAAATAAATAAATAAATTTGACTTATATATTTCCATCTGTTTAGGAATTTGAGCAAAAAAAAGTCTTGAAGTCAGTTTACAAGTTCAATAAAATAGCAGATTGCAACCGTGTGGTTGCTGAAAACTATTATAGCATTTTGTCTATTTAAATAAAGGCCAGAAATCCAAAAACTGGTACAGTGCTTTTCAGTTTCACAGCCCCAGGCTTCAACCTGCTCTTATTACTAGTACTTCAAATTGATAGCAATCCCCTCATTTTTAAAAAATAGAATAATAATGCATAATGATACAAAATATTAAATTTTAATGTTCCACCCAATATCAAATGAGACAGTTTTTGTAAAAATGCACACAACACTCTTATCCTTATAAAGTGAACAGATTTTTATTTCATATCTCATTTTCTTCACAATCCAGTAATTACAGTACAGGTATATGCGCCTTATACCTATTAAGACACTGCAAAAAATGAAAGTCAGATTTTCAGTTTCTTCATGCATTTTTTTCCTTGCCAACGTGCGTGCCGTAGAAAAGTTCTTTTATCTTTCTGAAATCACTTTTCTTCTCCCAGGCAGTATTCTCCATATCTCAGCAGCTAAAATTGCAGTATCTAGAGAAATTGTCTTCATTCCTTGCAACAGTTTTGTAAATATTAACTCTAATTAAGTTGCTGAAAATCTCCTTAAAAGATAATCAATACAGACTTTTTAGCCATTTTTTTTTCCCCGCTTGTCCTCACTTTTGTAAACAAAAAGCAGTGCAATCCAGCATAAAATCTACAACATGCTTTTAGGTGTTCTTTTTTATTATGTAACTTGTCCTCTCCATGTACATTGTCTATGGTCTACAGAAAATGCCTTGTCATCCTTCTTTGGAATCTGGTTTTGGCATTTGAAGTTTCTGAAAAGTATAGCAAAGCAAATAATATTTTCCCTTTGTCAGACTATTTTTCTGCAGCACCACCATATACTAGCTGTAAATGGAATTACATCTGTATTAATTTTCCATTCTCTGTCAAACTGTTAATGTAACCACTTTCATATTATGTAAAATGCAGCTTTGACAACTCTTGCTCTTAAAATACTTTGAGTTCTTAAACAAAGTACTTTGCATGAAAAAAAAAAAACTCTCTTCACAATATAATATTTAGGAACAAACCAAATTATGTGAAACTTGCAGCTTTATATGCCTATCAAATTGTGCTGAAAATATACAAACCTTCTTAGTTTTCTCTACACAGCTCCTGAAGTCTTTTACTACTTCTGAACACAGCACGGTGGCATTGGGGTTGTCACGGTAACACTGTAAAACTTTTTCTTCTAAATCTTGACAAACAGGAGAGGCAACTTTAGCCCTGAAATTTTATGATTGTTAATAACATAAATAATGCATGTTGTTCATAAATTACGAAGAGTGAGTTAACCAGAATTCAAGAAAAAAAAAATCCCCAAAATCATCCATTTCAAAAATAGAATGTGATGGTCTTCAAATAAATAACACAAAACAATGACATCTTTCATTTCTTAAAAAAAAATTTTTACAAAAATGTCTTTCAATGCAGTTTTCAGTGTTATATTACATTTATTATGGGAAATCCAAGTAAATCACTTGCATTTTAACTGTTAAATAAAAGAGAAATCATTGTTACTTAAGTCAACTTACGTCTTTGGTCTAAGCTCTATTAATTTTTTATCACTTTCTTTCATACTGGTAAAGAACGCATGTGCTAAATCACATGGAATGCATATTTCCTGTATTAGACAAAAAAGACAAAGGACATGGCATTAGCTGACAGCAAAAGGACTGCTCTAATATAATTTCATGAAGGAGATCTTCTGGGTCATTGAGCAGTATGTTGTAGTATGAAGAGGTAATGATAATGAATTCCCTTGAATTAAAAAAAAGCCTTCATTTGGCTTACAAATTGATTTGGGCTGAAACTGAAGAAAACCTCTGTTTGTATAAGCACTTCATGCATTATCATAAATGTAATATATAATAGTGGAGTCAGGCTGAGCAACAGTTATCAAATCCTTATGTGTTAACAGAAAAAATTAAAGGTGGCTTTAAGGAAATAGTAAAATTTTCTGCCAATGTTGTTTTTATATTACTTCTCAGTAAAAGGGATGTCCCTTTTTAATGCCATGTTCTAAGTCTTTGTCTATCAAAGTTACGGAATTTAACTGAGGTAATCTGATTATGAGGGGTGATCATTGAAAGTACATATAAATATATGAGTAGATGTTACCATTTGACCTCTAGATGGCATAGTATCTAGGTCCACAAATATTTTGCTTGTGGACAAATAACAATCTTTGGACTGCATCTTATCAAACTGATAAATGTTTTTACTCGAAGGAAACTTTTTTTTCAGAATACAGAAGGGAAACAACACCGAAACAATTACAATGAACATGCACATCAGCACTATGAAGATATATACATGTAGAATCCCCCAACCCAAAATTAACCAAAAGCCAAGCAAGATGGAAACTTACTTTATATACTCCTCTAAGTTTGGCAACTTCTCTTTCAGTAAATCAAACATCTCCACGGCCATTTTGTCAGCCTCTTCTTGCTTTAAACCCAAAAATAATACACTTGTAGTAGTCAAAAAATACCACAAGACCACTGTGTATATGGAAATAACTTCCTTTTTAGATATTTGGTTACTATGTATATAGTTTAACTTGAAGTGTGTTAGACTGCATTCCCAGATATTTAGATCGATCCATCTGGATCGACCTAACTCCCTGGGGGTTCACGCTAAATTGCTGTCAGCCGAGATCGCACGACAGTTAATTACCCCCTTACAGCTTTTAGTAGGCGGGACAGACATTTAAGCCGGTTAAGCTGACACCAATCTAGTGAGACTCCCCAGGGGGATAGATCGATCTAAATTTCTATGGGAATGGGGTCTAAGACTTATACAGGGAAATTTAGAGACTATATGGCAGTTTCTTCATTGTTGTTACCAAAGAGATAAGACAAATTGTAGAGGGCAAAATGGATGCAAAAGCACTGTCACGGATATTTTTCTTTACACCTACTTCACAATCTATATAAAAGTGCATTAGAGACAGCTATAGAGTGAGGATAATATATGTTTGAAATAACGTTCACATGAGGATGCAATAAAGTGCCCAGCCTGCCCTCCACATCAATGCAAAGCTGTAATCATACAAAAACCACTTTTATAGTAACTACAATTTTGTAATAATATATAACTTAATTAATATCTAACTAAAAACCAATACCTTCTCAAAACAACTACAGCAACATACATATCACTTGAAAAGATTGAATCTTTACGCTACACTGTTCTATTCTTTCAAGATACCATGAAAATGAACTCACCCCTTCCTTTAATTTGTTCGCTGCATCATCAAATTCACTGTAACATGTGTCTAACTCCTTTTCTAATTTTTCTATGTATGCTTTTGTCTGAAAAAGATAAAATAATTCTTTCTGATTGAAATGAAAAAAATATGTAACATCATAACACATGCTCATTAATCACAGACATGCAGAAACTGTTGTTCTTCCTAAATTCAGCTGACGCAAGGATATTGATACTGACAATTGACATTTCAAATGCACTGTTGTTTGCATATGTGTTTTACTGTAGTAAATTTAAGAGTGGAAAAAATATAAAACAGTCACTACATAAATACACTAAAATCCTGAACACAGTCAAACAACAAATAAAACCCACACTTTACCTCTTTTGAAACAGCTTCTTTTGATGCACTTTCTGCTGAAACACCATCATCAATCCCTAATCTTGAACTCGTATCTAAAAAAATATAAAATCATCCTTTTATGAAGCCATCCTGTAGGATAGAACAAAAAAAAAGATTTTATTTTAATTCATAACATGAAAACATGCACTAAAATGTGACTCAACTGTATTTAGAACATATAAACATGATCAAATCCTCTTTATCGTTTACTTCAAATACAAGAAAATTTGACATATATGGAATAATATAAAACTCAAGTATACATGTACATGTATTACAGCAGCAACAGATAAAAGTTAGAAGGAAGCAAGGCTGTCAAATATATAGACATAAATGGAGTTGTACCTTTTTCTACTTCTGGTTGTCCTGTTAACCTTCTTAGCACAGAATCTGTTATCTACAATGTCAAGAAATAAGTATAATCCTTCAAATTATAACAACCACATCCACCAAATAGTGGACCAAACAAATAAACAAATAAAGGAAAAAAATAATAAAAATGGTATTCACTATCCAGCTTCTTTAGAGATGCTTTTTCTACAGGCTCTTTCACTATGTCTTTTGGATTTGATGGTTGATGGCATGCACCTCCCTGAAATGGCCTTGGCTATTTAAATTTTGAATGGGTGTGAAATTGCTTGTCAAACAGAGGCACTGTTCAACATTGCCTGTTCACCAAAAGTCACCATTATGTGAATTGAGAAAAACATTGAAAATTCAAAACTCATATGTTTATGGCTGAAGTGACTAAAAACAACAATCATTTTATATCATATATATTTGATTTTTTCAATATAATGAAATGTTGCGTAAGCTCAATAAAATAAATGCACGTATTTTTTCATCTGAACACGAATGATATGATGCAAAAGCAGTGCAGCACTGAAATTTGACAAACACTAAACTGCAAAACTATGTCTATAAATTGCACATACTTTATTCTGTTACAACATTTTAAACTGGAATTTCAAGTGGTGAAGTGTCTGTAGACAGTGTACAGTAGCTAAAGTTAACATTTGCATTCAAATAAAAAGTTCCATTCCCAACAAATGACATGATTTACCTTTATGACACCTATATTCCCATCTTGGTCGTCTACCCTTTCTATTGTTATATCTCGCACTTTACTTTCATCGGCACCCATTTTGAAGCAATTTGATAAAAATCGTAAAAATCGTGGTGCGGCGAGCACGCAACACGAGGTCACTCGAAGGTCACCAAGGCCAAGAACAACTCCGCATGGAATGATGCGCGGTTCACGGAATAGTATTTTTGCGACCCATGTATAGTTTTAAACCATGTCCATTCTAGAATATATTTCTTTTTATGTATTTTTTTACATAAATTAAATTTTTTGATGGTCACGTAAAGTACGTAACACCCTAGCTCCGCACTTCATATGGGGGCGAAAAAAATACTTGGGCTGGGGATCGATCCGACTAAATACAGCACTGCAATGTGACAGATGGGTAATATAATTCCACGCGTATTCGTTTAATATATTCTGCAGTTATGATTCGTGGTTAAAACGCTGTATTTAGTGCATATGTGGCATATTAATGCAAGATATATTCTAACTATTTGAATTTCGCTTGGAATTTGACACTGATTCAGTGTCAAGCACTGCAGGCAGAAGGAACCCATCTTCACAAAATAAGGTAATAACCAAAAGTCCAAACTGCGCGGGTACTGACCTCAAGTCAGTGAAAATGTTTATTTTACTTCGTAAATACGTATTAGACAGTCTACTTAATTTAAACGAATCCTTAATTTACATTTCATACTATTATATAATTGTTAATTTTAAGGTGCCTAGCATACTGTATACTGCCTTATTGACGGCTGATGCTGCCATGATATAAGAGGAGGGCATGAAAATGGGATCACCTCCCTATGCCTCAGCATCATTACTCAAACATATCCTTAGTTCTCCACATTGTTACTCCCATGATATGACTCACCAATATACTCCACTAACTTCCTCCCTCACTCCTTTGGTTTTTGAAGGTATTCAGACCTACGGTTATGTTTTAAAATAAAGAATTGTTTTCATCTATTGCATTTTTACCTGTGAAGGTACATAAAGAGATTCAACCCTGAAATGTTGAAAGTGAGGTGTTGTCACAGAATGTATTTACTAATTATCTACTTGGAATTTTTATCATTTAGATATGTAGGAGCAGCTTGGAATATTGTCCACTGGTGTCTGGTGAGATGGCGGACAGTGAGATTAGGGAGGGTTTCCTGTGTCCTATTTGTGTGAAGGACTTGGGCACAATATCACAACTACAGCAACATTTTGAAGATGAACATTCAACAGAGGATAAAGCAGTGCTGCAGCAACTTAAAGGTATAGGTTATTTACCAGAGAAATATAATCTCAGTGATGCACTGGCAGCAACACATAATAAAAAAAAATTGGTACTGGACTTAAAAAGTAATTAATGCAAGGATAGGACTTTGGATGGGTTCCCAGACCCTATCTTTTAGCAGCTTCAGGCATGGTCCTTTGAAAGAGGTACATGTACATGTACGGTACCTCTCATATGCAAAAGGAAGAAGAATGTTAGTGACCCAATGAGCTGGCCATGTGACAGGTCAAATGGCTAGGTATTTGCTTGAGGACTTAGTCTCAATGTGGGAGAGATTAAATCTCAGTCCTCTATGGTTCAGTGAGTGTTGCTGATTAGGCCTTCAGGTGGGTGTGGGGGTGGGGGTGGGTGGTTAGTGATGAATGTTTCTAATCATAATCGTATGGTAAGATTGACATCTTTATGGGGTGGGGTGAAGGGCATGTGGCCTAGATCTGCTAGTGTCATACATTAGATGTTAATGTCTTTCCCAGTTTATTTCTTAACATGTTTCACTTATTTGTCATAGAATTTTACTTAGTTAATCACAGGAGAAAAAATTATCAAACTCAATTAAAGACTTTTTAAATTTTATTTTTATAGCTTTGACATTTCTTAAATGCCCAATTGACCTTTCTTTACTTTGACTGTTTTATTTATCATCTTTCACCAGGACTGTTTGGCAAGGCCAAGAGGAAAATCCTGGCTGCAATTGACTCTGATGAAGAGGACACAGTGGACAGTGGTCCCAGTGGTCACCCAGGGTCCAGTACAGCTGTGTCCCAGTCTGTGGATGCAGGGGGCATAGATCCCACTCTGTGGGAGCCACAGGAGATAGGTATGGTATTACATAAATTAATAGTATATAAAATACTTGTGTGTGTGTATGTGCACACGTGCACACATGCTCATCATAAACAGTATCTGCACATGCACATAACAGGTAGTCATTACACTTAACTGCTAAAAGCCAGTGAAATTTATTTAATCACAATACTTTTCAGGTTGTATGAGAAGTCACACTGATTTCTTCAAACCTATCCGAGATGCTAGAATTGACCGCTATGTGGTGGAGACAAACAAGCTTATCATAAGACTGGACAAACTGGTCGGACCAGATGTACCGAGTGACCCTAGCAGGAGAAAAAGTAGATAATTTTACATTTGTTATTATTTTTGGGGGGTTTAAACCAAAGACAACTATTTTCATGTAGTTACTATACGTCTTATACACTCTTACTATTTCAAAACAATGATCACCCTACTTTTATTTTATTTTATTTTGAAAAATGAAAAGTTTTTTATGTTAAATCTGTTTCAGTAATAAACAAATAGTAACCGCAAGCAAGCTTGTATTTTGAAAAATGATTTTATTATCTGTATTAAATCTGTTTCAGTATTTGAGAAGAAAGTTGTCCAGTGGGCACCCGACTCTCACGTCAACCTGTGTATGACATGTGGCAAGTCATTTGGTATAATGAGACGACGCCACCACTGCCGTCTATGTGGAGGTGTCATGTGTGATAAGTGCTCAGAATTCTTGTCATTCTCTTATGCTAGTAAGTTTTCTGTTTTTGTTTTATAGGTTATATCTTGTCTTTATACTTAAGGCTACATATTATGTAATGAGTAAATTAATTATGATGATTTATATACAAATGACAAGAATTGTTGAGGTCACAGCAGATTCTGATGTTTGAATTATTAAAAACTTAATTTTATGACTGCTAGTCTTTGTACTCCTAGATGAATGGTGAAATTCAACAATTATGTATGTAAAAAGTTTCTGAAGATTCAGATTTAAAAGTGTTTGTTATATATCTGTTGTCCAGAAAAGCTCACAGATCCTGCATTTAAACCTGGCAATGATACCCCGCTGGGGATTGGTTTCCGGCGCTCCAATAGCACAAGTAGCCTCAATTCCATGATGACCCCTGAAGGCGAACCCCACATCAGAATCTGCTGGGAATGTCGTAAGCTTCTGGAAAGGAGAGCACAGCAGATGGAACACAGGAACTCCAGGCCTGTGATTGGTCAGTTTTATGAGGTAAGTTTGTTACATGCTGTGTGATTGGCTGTTGATTAAAGAGTTTCACAAGTGCTCATCCTCACCCTGTCTCGGGTATTGTACACCTCAGTCAATTTGTTTAATAAAGGGAACCGGAGAAGATCAGCATTGGTCAGAATTGTGCCGGAAGTGACGTGCAGTGGTGTTAGAAACGAAGTTGAGTGGTCATTTTAACATAGAGGTGAACGGCAGTGAAGACGGGTTGTCGGAGGAAAAAGAAGTTTTCTAAACAACATGGTAAGATAACACTTTTTCNGTTGTAATTGCAGCCCATACCATAAAACACCCAAAAATACTTAGATATGGACATATCGGATTATATTAATGCCAAATTTCCACATGACAACGATTTATAGACTCCCGGGAATTATTTCCCCTTTACGCTTTTTGTCGCGCTGGCGGTCGACGCAGCATTTATTTCTAAACAAGTTGACCGCAAATTAAGCACGATTTTGCACCTTCAAGTTCCGTGTCACGTTTTCATATCATGCGTCTATTATTTCTATAAGTATTCTCTGCCCAAAATGCGTAAAAAAAGAGAGTTATCTTACCATGTTGTTTAGAAAACTTCTTTTTCCTCCGACAACCCGTCTTCACTGCCGTTCACCTCTATGTTAAAATGACCACTCAGCTTCGCTTCTAACACCACTGCACGTCACTTCCGGGCACAATCAATCTTCTCCGGTTCCATGTATTTTGCTTTCCTTTGATGTTATAGCTTAGAATCTTGAAGATTACAGTTATAGCTACCGTGTGTCAAATTTATAATCATCTTGTAGGGAGAGTTGTCATAATACTGTAGGTCTTAATTTTCTGATGTTGTATAATTGTTATATTTCAAATTTTTACGCACAGTGGTTTAATACACATACTCTTCTTTTTGCTGATGAATGATTTATTTTATTATTTATACACAGTATTTATGTCACAATGGTAAATTATACACATTATTGTAAGCCCCTCTGAATTGTCTTTCAGAAAATGCGCCAGCACATGGAGACAGCAGAACAGTTGATTCCTGTCTACACACAGGCTGCTGAGTCCTTGAAGTAAGCATATTGTCGTATATTAAAGTGAAACCTAAGTCAGTTGTCATATTTAAAGCTTGAATAAATTTCCCAATAACTTTAGGTTATTTACAGGCAGGTATAGGAGCAAAAATTAAATGAGTCGAGAGACTTAAGACTTTATTTGTTGAAAGAGAAATCATTATGATTTACTTAAGGGGTTGCCAAATTTAAAAAGAAAAAAAAAGACAGGAAAAAAGTGATTGGGTGCTAGTTTGAATGAATGACTCATTATAAGAAAAAGTTGGCATTGATCATTGTAAGTAAAAGAAAACATTTAATTAAATGGAATGATTTCCTGTGTTGTCTTGTTAATATTGCAAATAATAGGTAATGTATTTTTTCTGAAAAACACTACTTATCAGATGAATGGTAAATTCGTTATATGCACAAGTATTTATCTTTCAGTCTTGGCGAAGCTACTTACAATCTTGCTGATGCAGAGGAACAGAAAAGGAAACTTGTTAAACTCTATGAACAGATTGATGCTCTGAGGTAAATACTGCATATTACAGTATCTTGTCTTAATAATTAAGCTGAAGTGGAAATTTAAGAGGTTGATTTGTCAGCATTATTGTTGGCATTGGTTGTTTAAAAATTATTATCTTAGTTTTAATGGCAGGTTTTTTCCTTTAAGTATTTAGAGTGTATTTGGTATTATAAATTCTTTTTTAGGTAAAAAAATCTAGAAAAATAAAAGAAGGTTATTTTCTTATTTCATTAAGAATTTGTTTATTCCCATGTCAAGTATGCAGAAATTGTGATTGTTTCAATGTTTTTTTTTTTTTTTTTTTTCGTTTTTTCAGTAAGAGAATAAGCTCAATGGGATTGAATGACACAGAACCTCCTCCAGCAAAAATGGTGCAATTGCAGAAAGCTATACGCTTCCATGCTAGTCAATTTATACAGGAAAATTTAATGGGGCTCACTCCCCTCCCAACCCAAGAACAATTGGTGCAGCTCCAGGCCAAACGAAAAGCCGAAATACAACGAAAAATAATGCTCGAGAGACAGGCCACGATGGAACGCCAAGAAAAAGAAAAAAGAGCCAGGGAAGAGAAGGAACGAAAGCAACAGGAAGAAATAAAGAGACATCAGAGAAAATCGTCCAATGATGTCATCCGAGTGAGGTCACCATCTAGAGGTCATCAGGTGCCGAATAAGGGGTGGATGCCCCCTGACCAGAGCAAGGCCAGTGCAGCTACTCCTGATGATGACCCCATGGTGCAACAGATGAACAACATCAAACATTACATCAAACAGGCAAAGGATGCTCAGAAGTGGGATGAAGTCCACATGCTGGAAGAAAATTTAAAGATGCTCCAGAGTGAATTCTGGAGGCAGTCTGGGTTTCAAAATTGATTTGTTCGAAACCGCTAGCTATTTGTAGTTGCTATGATCATGGTAAAATGTTGACTTATTGGGGGCATTTACATTCAATTTGGGTCCAATTTGAATTCTGGAGGCAGTCTGGGTTTCAAAATTGATTTGTTCGGAACCGCCAGCTATTTGTATTTGCTATGATCATGGTAAAATGTTGACTTATTGGGCGAATTTACAGTTAATTTGGGTCCACCCTTCTTGGTCTCACACATATCCATGATTATCCCAAGCTCACCATAGCCAGCAAATGTAATCATTCTGCAGAGATGGCATGCACCAAAAAGAGTCGAAACAACTTGCCTGTAAATCCACCTATGAAGCCCCCCCCCTTCTCCCTCAATGTGGCCAACATTTTGGCCAAGTGAATGTGCTCTGGATCAACAATGGCAAACCCTCCTAGCCTTTTAGACTTCTCAGCCATGTCTCAGCAATGGAATCCCCAGCTTACATCAAAAGTTGTTCTGTCAGTGTTGTACTGATGTTTTGTGTTAATTAGATTTGCTCACAATTACTTGAAGAGGCTCATTCATGAATTTGCTTCATTGATAATAATGGTTGTTTGTAATTTTAATGATTTATTCAGCTAACTACCAGTATCTCATTATGTATCAGTGAAAATTGATATGTTAATATGTTTTATTGAAGGCCACAATATTTATCCATGTCTTCTAATGTTCACTAACAGCCCTGTTGCTGTTTTGTTGGTTTCTATACAATGATGCTAAAAATAAACAGACTTGGTTTATTACCGGAAAAGTTTCATATACGTATTTTCTCCTTACAGAAATAATGCTCATATCAGAACTGACATAGCAACTTATTTAATTCCTTATGTTCAGATAAGAAATGAGGTGTATTTTTTTAATACAATGTTTTCCCTTGTTTTGATATCTTTGTTTTCAATCCTTTATCCGTAATTCTATATGTTTCTCTTTTGTTAAAGTATGTGACATACTTAAACAAGGAAACAAAACTGTTGTATGTGGTTTCAACCAGACGTGGATCCTATTGTGTAAGGAAACCGTCCTTAGCCCGACATTTTAATGTTAAAATCAGTCATGGAAGTACCACCTTAATATTGGTACATGCTACCAATTGACTCAATCTTCTCTTAGCATTTAATTACACTGTTAATTGCAATATAGTGAAAGGTGCTGTTGGATCATGGGCACATAAAATGCCAAAAAAAAAGAAAAGAAAAATAACTTATAATTTCAATTTAAATCTGTTGTAAAAATGTAGTTTATTTGTGCAAGTTGGCTTCCAAATTCAAGTTGTTATGATGTTATGTCTTTCCAATTTCATAAAAATTTTGGTTGCAAGTTGTAGCAATTATAGAATTGTTTTGAAAATATAGCATTTAATTTTTTTGTTCTGGCCATTTTACTGCATATTAAGTGAAAGTTTCAATGGGGCATCACTTATAACTTAAACAGTTGCTGGTGAAAATTTGAAAAGCAAGACCTTCATTAGACTCTAGATATAAAAGAATACAATTTCAGGCACAGCCATAGTATACCTCATAAGGATGTCAATTTCTTGATGAAGAAAATCCTGTGTCAGTTGCAGCGGTTATCAACTGACATTTACCTTAAGCAGTTACATAAAGTTACATTATTAATTGCCAAGCTCTGTGGTCAGTATACAATGCTACTGGTCATCAACATGTTATATGTATTACAATTGTGCAAGCTGTTGGACCTTTGCAGTCCCTACTAATAAACTATATCACCATCACTGTTCAGTCTCAATTATTGATATTGCTGTATAGCAATGAGCTGTTTTTATTTTGAACATTTTGTCGTAGGAGAGTTTAAGAACAGGAGTTAGCTTGAACTGACTGTCATAGCAAAGTTGACAATAGAGTTCACAAAAAGACTTGCTGGGGTGGAGGCCAGTTTTACAGAATTACTTGTCAAATGTTGACCGTCACTCTACCAACCCCCAGCCCAAATTAATAATAAATTCATGTCTTTTGTATGATCTTAGAGAAATTAATACTAGTCAAAACAACTGATCTGTTGTAAAAATGTAAGAAAGGAAATCCTATATTTCACAATTATTACTCTTTTCTTTTTGGACATGTACATTTCTTCTGGGTTAATAAATTAAACCAAACTTTTAGATCAAAAATAGACCAGCTTTCCACTGGAGTTCCATTGTAAAATTGAGCCCCAGGCCATCTCGTAGCATTAAAACAAACCCATGTTTTAAGAAATATTGCTTTTATTGTTATCATAAACACACAAAAAACTGTCTTATCAGATGTTTGCCTATCACATATCTGAGCAGTTAATTTTGTAGAAATCCAAATAGCTAGTCTAAGTAACACAGAAGCAGGTATTTAAAATAATGTTAAAGCAACTATTTGAGCAATTAAAGTTATATATTGCTTGAAAAGCTTGAAGCATGTTTCTGGAATGCATATTGGTGTCATTTTATATTCAAAATTTGATATTTGCTTTGAATATTTCAACAATAACAGCAGTATTTGTTGTTTAAATAAAATATAACATCAAATATGTAACACCTCTTTGATTATGATAGGTATAAATTAACTTTGAATTAAATAACAATTCGAAATTTGATATGAAAATGATAAAACCACCTATTGTACCTGAATTTCATTATTAACTTCCATAACAAATATGTATCATAGTATACTACAAAAACAAAAGGATAGCATCCTTAAAACTTGGTATCAAAAAGTACACTAATGGCAAAATTGCATTGAAGTGAAGTACACATAAACCCTCCACTATTGGCCATCTGATTAAGTGAAGCTCACCTAAAGAAGAAATGGTTGATACTGAAAATGGCAGATGTATCTTCAATGTAATTTTCTTATACCTTACCTTACAACTTTCTGTTTACGTTTTTTATTAATCACAATATTCAAGGTGAACAACTTTGAATGAACAGTTTTAAGAGCTTGTCCACGAGAGAACCAGCCCAGGGTGGCAAGGTGGGGGTCAGCAGATTTCAACCAAATTTGTTGTATGGAGGCATATTAGGAAGTTATTCTTGAGTGAGGAAGGAATCCCAAAAATATCCTTTCTTCAGAGAATTATAGCCTATTATAAGTCATGGCTTATGTAGCCTCTTTGAGACTCCATTTTTACCTTGGAAAAATAATGATATATTTTGTGTAAATTAAACAAAAATGGAGAAAAATAAAAAATATTAGACCTTACAAACATTGAAAACAATCATTTGGCTTGCCACAGATATATGTAGAATTCAGATAAGACCCTGCTTGGGCGAGCCACACCCATTTATAACACCCCTCCCCCCAAAGTCCAATTTTGATACTACCATCTTTAATTGCATATATCTCCATCTTCACAGGGTTTACAGCTATAAAACTGCATGAATATTTTAGGCAGATATGG